AGAATAAAATCCTAGGCTTGTTTACTCTGATAAATCTTCGTGTTTAATTTGCTTTCTTGCTTTGTCGTTTTAATTTGCCTTTAAATTTAATTTAGTTAATTCTCTCTAAAATTCGACTGTGTAGGGTGGGCTTGATAATAATTGGTAGAATTTAGCATCTAGGATTAGATTATTAAATATTCCCTGTGGGTTCGATACCCGGACTTTTAGTCCACTATATTACTTGTACGATACGTGCACTTGCGTGTAGGTAACCGGCCAACAAGTTTTTTAACTATGTTAAGAATATCAGCAAAGGGAAAAGCATAAATTATCAGAACAACACATAACATATACTGTTGGAGATGGTTGGTTTTTGGATGGAGATCAACATAAAGCTCAACAAATGATATATAATTTTTGTGTTTTTTTTTTTTTTTATTTATTGTGGAAGCAACCATCTAATCATGTGCCTTTTCAAAAAAATACTATTCAACAAATGATATCTAGGGTTTTTAGAGAAGCAGTCACCGCCTTGTTTTCAAAAAGATATGATTTTCAGCCCTATTTTGGAGAATTCGTTAATCTAGGGCCGTATTATTTGGGATCGAATTAAATCCGATCAATTAGGGAATGAAGAGGATGCGTAATCTTAAGAAGTGAGAGGAAAATACGCTGATAATCAAGGCCCAACCAAAAATCCAGTATAATTGAATTTAATAAGCCAAATAAACCCCATAAAATAATTTATTAAATAAATGACAGTTGTACCCCGAAAATGAGCGGAAAAAAAACCTAGGGTTTCACCAGAGCAACCTTACTTTTATAATTTAATATCTTCTTTATTTTCAATAACAATTTTCATCAATTTCCATTATTTTACATACTCGTTTAATTATTATCATTATTACTTTTTATTTCTTTTCATTTTTGTTCGATTTTATAGAAAAATGTTTTTATCTTAAAACTTAAAAGTATATCAAGAAACCACAATTAAAATGCATTTATTTTCTTTATTTTAAATTTGAACATATAAATTATTTCAAATTTCTATCTAATTAATTTGAAGTGTAGGCATTTTATCTTTCTGTAATATAATTTATTAAATATTTATTATCAGTTTTAATTATTAGATTTATTTAATCAAAATAATACACAAAATAATATTTTTTATCACTAAAAAAATTAAGATGTGTAATTAAGTTTTAATGATAAATTTCATTGTAAATATTTCGAATAAATTATAAAAAAATATTTCACTATGATTCTTATGATACTTTATATTTTATTGATCTTTAGAATAAATATCCGTTGGATAAAAATATGATTAGAGAGTTCAATACAAGTAAACATAAAAAAAATATGAGCAAAATTAAAATGAGTATAAATTATTTGGATTTTTTTATTATAATATTTAAAAGATTTAAGTTTGTAAAACAGTGAAAGAGGGAGACTTGTCTTAAAACATCTAAGAATAAAAGGGTATAATTGGTATAACATATAATCTGGGGGGTAATTGAAGATTTTAATAGTAGTGGGGAGGTAAGCTAAGTGATGGTTTTTATTGAGTACAGGGGTGGTAAGTTAAATAAACCCTTGATTTTCAAATTGGTGAACTTTTCATTGTAGAAATCAAATTAATTAAAGAATATTTGAAATAATAAACTAAAATAAAATTAAATACTAATATACGAGAAAAATGTCTAGAAATAAGAAAAAAAATAGTTGTGAATGACTAAGATTGATTATCACTATTGAGGTTAAATAAATTCTTAAATTTTACTTACAGTCGTTATTATGCGTTTTATTAGTATAGGTGATAATATGATTTAATCATAGTCAATTATGTAACAAAAACATAAAAATATAATAAGTTAATTAATAATAATGTACATTACTTACTTTTAGTAATAAAAATTTATGTCAAGGGCGTGTTAGTATATTAGAAAATATGTTAAAAGTTGTATTTTTTTATTCATAATTATTTTTATTCATTACATTTTCACAATGTTTTTCTTTAAAATTATATTTCAAGGGTTTTCCAATAATCATAATATCATAAGTATATATATAAATAAGTGATCACATAAAAAGAACTTTATATTTTAAGTTGAGGGCTCCATGTTTAATGTATTTTCAATCTTTAGGTTTAATGCATTTTCAATTGTTAGGGGCCTTTTTGGTTGGATGGCTTGGATAGATAGGTAGAGATGGGATAGTTAATATTGAGATTAAAATGGTGATAACTGATAAGTAACACTTAACATCATATTTGGTTTGCGCTATTATCTCAAAACTGATAATTCCTTAACCAACAATACACTGTTTTGTTTTGTTGATATTAAGGTATTAGTAGGGGATTAATTGGAAATTATCGTAAATGCCCTTAGAAAGATAAAATATTGTATAATCACTTTCTCATCTTTCCATCTCATTTCACAAAAAACTTCCCTCCACCGATAATGCGCCACAATCCTTAGATTGAATTTCTGTAAGTTGGAAAACAATCATATTATAATATTTACAAAAACACCAAACTCATAAATAATATTGACAAAAAACAATAAATAGAAATACATTGCGGTCATTATGTTCATTATGTAAGAATCTAATCAAGTTAAATAAAAACAGTTGTTTTAATTAGTTAATTAATAAGGAATTAAAAAATAATCACCTGAAAGAAACCACAGGGCCGGTAAGAAACCACAACACCATGGAAAAGAAGGCAACCGTGTTTTATTTTAATTAATCCCAACCACCCCTTCAGTTTTAGGACCACATAGGAAAATTAATTTTCAATAAAAATTCTATTTTAACCAAAAATAGAGAATTTGGGAAGAACAGTTGTGCCTCTGTAACATTAGGGCTCCATTGTGACGGAGGAATTATGAAGAAAGTTAGTTTTTATATGAAACATATTTGTAATTGTTTCATTGTTTAAGGGCAATATCGACATTTTATAAGGTACTAGATGATCTGTATTAAATAATCAAGCCATATTTGGCTTGATAAATAATATTTTAATTGGATGATAAAATCTATGGGGCCACCTATCACCAGATGGTTTAACCATATAACCAAATACCGTATTAAGGGCTCGTTCGGTTACCTATATTTGATTAGATTGGATTACATGAGATTAGATTAACTCCCTACTGACTAATTAATTATTTAGTTAGTAGCATGTTCGGTTTCTTAGATTAGATTTTCTATTAAATTTGTTAAAATCGGTTATTATATATGAATTGTCTATAAAACCACTTAGTTTACAATAATAAAATATGATTTTAAGGATAAAATTGTCTTTTTCCTTTTTCAGCACCCCCTATTAAATTAATCTCAGGGGGGTGCTACTAATTTAAAGAAATAGTAGCATTTAATAGCGGGCTTTGATTTTAGTAGCGGGTTTGAAAAAGTGTGAATCTTTCCAACCGAACATGCTATTATCTCCTACTATTTAGTCAGTAGAACCTTATAGCGGTAACCCAACGAGCCATAAGCGGGACTATTTGTCCCATCACGCGTTATAATGGGAATCGAAGGAGCCCTAGATGTATAATTAGGCTTATTACTAAGTGTTGTACTAATTGGATATTATTAAAAAAACCATAAAAAATATTATGTAACTTTTATTAATTAATCATAAATTATATATCAAGTAAAATCATACGTAATCACGTATAATAAAATCTACGTAATCACGTGCAACGCACGTTGTGCTTGCTAGTTCATTAAAAAAATGTGAAATTCAAAACAATTAGAATTTTTTGTTGCAAGTAATGCTTTGTGAACCTATTCTCGGTCAAGCTCTCCCATCATCCATATGTATAGTAATTTGGCAAAATCGAGGATTCTAAACCTTTTATCCGGCAGTAGTTCAATCCCGGTAAATTTTGTTTTGAACTATAATGCCAGTGCAATCCGAAAATTTGCAATTTTGGCAACAAGTTTGTCATTTCAATTTTTTCGAAATTTCAATTTTCATTTTTGTTAATTATTTCGGAACACAAGTGGAACTAGTTTTTCCGAAAAAGCTAGATTCGATCGTTCTCTTTCCATCCTATATGAAACCTCATATAATTAAAAAAAAAGAAAAAAAAGAAAAAAAAAAAAACTTACAAAATAGACAACAATGTTATTCAGGTTTATCTACATACTGGTCAAAGTAATCCTCGAAACACAGTTTTGAATCTCTAATTTCTATGCCCAACTACAGAAGAGAAAACCTGAATTATTCTCAAAAAATTTATAAACTCCAATAAATCAGACCGTTATTCCAAATTCAAAATACGCATCAAGATTCCATTTTTTTTAATACAAAAAAATTTGTGGGGTCATATTTTTCTGGACAAAATACACTTTGCCCCCTATAAATTTCTATTTTTCGCAATTTCTCCCAAAAAAAAAAATGGATATTCCCCCTTCGAAATATTATATTGATTGCACTTTGTCCCATAAGCCAATTTTTTGAGGGCATTGTGCAACAAAAATAACATTTTATAGGGCAATGTGCAAAAAAATATTGTTTCGAAAGAGCAACATGCAATAAAACTAACATTTAAAGGGACAAAGTGCATCAAAATACTCAATTTCGATGAACTGTGCAACAAGAATAATATTTTGAAGTGAGAGACATTCACTTTTAAATAAATTGAGGGGGTAAAGTGAGAAAATTAGAAATTTAGAGGGGGTGATGTGCAATTTTCCCTATTATTTTATTATTCCCAAAACAGTAGTAGGTGTACTCTGACATCAATGTTTTTTTCCCTTTAATTTATTTAATTTTTAAAATAAAAAAAGAAAAGAAAAAGAAAAGGCCCTTTAATATGTTAACGGATATATTGAATGTTACCCACCCCGCCTCTGTCGAAATTTGAAATTTGGTGTCTCTTTCTTTAAAGAGTTGTTTTTCTTGATTACTGTACCCCACTTTTTTCTCTTTTGCTTCTTATCTTTTTATTTCGTTTGAATATTTTGTTTTATTTTTTATTTTTTGAATTTTTGGTTTTTGGTGTGTGAAAAATGGGTAGCTGTTTGAGTAAGAAGAGTGTGTGTGCTTCTTCTTCTTCGTCTCCGGTTGAAATTCAAAAACCGCCGGAGAAACTGCAATCTGATTCCCAATTGGAGAAGAAAGAAGCTGTGGTGAAGAAAGAGATTTTCGTTATCAAACACCGGATTAGCCATGAAATCGAGAGGCCGAGATCCGATGATGAGACCGGCGATTTGAAGAATGTTGAGGGTAAAATTGGTGAGGGTTTGGATGTTGGAAATGGCGGCGGCGGAGGAGGAGGAGGAGGAGCGGCGCCGGTGAGGACTTCGAGCTGCACGAAGGAAGAGGTGGACGCTATTTTGATTCAGTGCGGGAGGCTCAGCCGCAGCTCCTCCACCGGAAAGGCCGGCCACCTCTCGTCGGAAAACGGTGGGAGAAAGTACTCTGGTTCGAAGAGGAGTTACGATTTCGACAACGACAACGGCAGATCTGACGGGAACAATGTCGGGGAAGGAGACGACGACGCGGTGGCGAGGGAGAGGGAGAACCGCCGCCGCGAGCGGCACCGCCAGTCTCAGGGGCGGCGGAGGACCCCCAGTAGGGAGAGGGAAAAGGACCAGGCCGCTCAGCAGCAGCGTTCCGGCAGCAGAGAGAGGGTCGCCGGCGGCGGCGGAAGGCGGGTGAGCAGATCTCCTGGTAGAAGATCTGAATCTCCAATTACTGCAAATTCAAATTCATCTTCTGCCAATACAAATTCCAGACCGGGGAAGATGGTTTCGGTCCCCGCCACCGTATCTTCAATGGCAATGGACAAGAGTACCAACGCCGGCGAGCCTAATTCCGGGGCGGCGATTAAAAGGATCCAAGTGAAGAGGAATGTTGGAGGAGATGGGGCTGCTGTGGGTACAACTAGAACAGCTTCTTCTCCTCGAGCTCGATCGCCGGCGAACGTTAGGGTTTTGAATGAGAATTCCAATCAGAATCAGCCGATTTCACTTAGTAGAAGCAATTCGAGGAAGGCTGAGCATTCTCCATACCGAAGAAACCCTCTTGGTGAAATTGACACCAACATTATCTCTGCACAGGTATGGTCTACATTATCTTTCTTATCAATTCCGCAACTCTTAGGCCTCATTTGGTTTGGAGATTAGCCATGATGAACTAAATAATTGAACTTTGCTTGATGTTTGGTATCCGCAATCAATTGTCGGGTCGACCCGTCAAAATTATGTTATCATGACTTATCTTGACAACCAAACGAGGCCTTACTAATTCTGTTGAAAGTATAATCTGAAGCTTTTCTAATTGTCAATTAATTTTATTTTTATGAAACATGATTCTTGAATCTTGATTGTGAAAATGAAATGTACTTACCAGGCTCCACCTATTCAGAAGACCAACGGTGACAAGCACATAGTACAAGGGGCCGAGAACCGAATTAATCAACAACAGCACCTCGTGACAGAGGAAACAAAGGGACAGTATGGAATTTCAGGACATGTTGGATTGAACGTCATTTCTTCCGTGGGGCCCGGCGATAACCCGAAACTGAACGCAGTCGCAAGAACAAGATCCTCTCGACTGTCTAGAGAACTAGACATCAACCCCGAAACCCTATCGAACCCTAACGCACCACCATCTTCTTCCTACACCGCGTTGCTTCTAGAAGACATCCAAAACTTCCACCAAAAGAACACCACACCATCGCCGCCACCTCCTTCGTTCTCTCTCCCGGAGTGCTTGACCAAAGCATGCTCGATCCTCGAAGCGGTTGCTGACCTCAACTCAAGCACTGGCGAGAACAAGCCGGGTTTAGCAGTGAGGAAAACGGTGAAAACAGACCCCACCATTGTGGAATCCGAGGTTGTTGTGAACGATGATTTGATGGAGCCGAGTTTTCACAAGTACGTTACGGTGAAAAGGGGAGGCACGATTGGGGTGGGAGAAGACGATGAAGATTTTGAAGAGCAAGAATCTTCCGGAAGTAATAGCGTTGTTGTTGGGAGTCAACAGCAACAATGGCTGTCTTCTTCTGGTTGGGAGCCTAATTCTGCCGAGTCAACCGATCGGTGGACTTGTTCTTCTTCTGCTTCTGCTTCTTCGAGTGGAAAGAGAGTAGTGAGTGCTAAGAAGAGGAATTCTCAACATAGTGGAATCGGGAGGGGCAGAATCGGAACCGGTGGTGTGACGCTGCAAGATAATGTTGTGTTTCGAGTTTGATTTTAAATATGTGGATGTTGTATTTGTTTTAGTTTGTTCAATGGTTCTTTACATAGCTGTTTCTTTTTACCAGTTCTTTATCTTGTTAACTGGAAAAAACTTGAGCTGCTTTAACAGTTTGTATCATTTCATTTTGTTGTAAAATGAATTAATGAATTATGACGGTGAGAGATGAGAATTAAGTTTGATACATAATCTTCTTTAACTTCGTTAATCTTCTTTTTTTTTTTTTTTTTTTTAACTGGTTCCCCAATTTCCCTCTTGGTGTCTCGAACCCACAACCGATTAGATACTAGGTGCAAGGTGCTTACCAACGGACTACCTTGTCTTGACATTGATGGTTTCTTTGGATATGCCTTTAATGAGATTATTAGATAAACTTGAGTTGCTCGTGTAAATTCTTCATTTCTTTTGTTGCATATTTGTCAAGTGCGTAGTTTGTATTGCTCAAAACCCAAAAAAATTAAATGAGCCGAACTTGAGCCTAAAACAAAGAGAAATGATGGTATTTGAGCTTGAACCTATAGTTTCGAAGACCGATGGTATTTGAGCTTGAGCCAACCCTAATAATGGATTAGTGGTTGGTTGGTTACTCACTCTATTTTATTAATCACTAACTCATTATCTTTTGCTCCTGCGTCCTGCCTCGGTTCTCGTGGATTTTACAAGAGGGAAAGAACAAATATTTGAGAGAAGAAGGCTTAGAGTTATTTCAATATCTCTTTTGTAATATTTTCTAGAGTCTGTTTTAGGTACTCATCTTGAGCACATACCTTGTAAGTCTAGAGACATGTTAGGGTGAGTTGAAGACGCTAGACTTAATTATACGAAGGATACCTGTAAAATACCTTTTTAATAGGAAAGTCATTTACTTCCTTACTTTGTATTACTGTAATACTGTTTATATTAGTTTATTTCTTCTTTGGAGGCAGTCCAAAAATATTTACTTGTGGACTTTGAATCTTGTGTTTGTAATTTTACTCCGCTGCACGTTTTGTTAAGCATTATCATTTTTTTTTTTTGAACACATGTTAAGCATTATCATTCTTCACATAACATCTTTGTTTTTGTCTAATTATCACGGATTCACAGATTGACTTTCAATTGGCATCAAGAGCCAACACTTGACCAATACTAAGTGTCGTGTCGTTCCTGTTTTATTTACTGCAGTGACACGAATTCGTGATGGACACCTGAGTGTCTGCAAGCATACATCCTCTCGTTCTAAATGGCTACAATTACACTTATCGGAAATTCAAGATGAGTGCCTTCATCATATCCATTGATGAAAGAGCGAGCTTGGAGATCAATTCTCACTGGCCGATGGCGCCCACCCTCTAGTGTTGATGAAGATGGTGGTGTCACTGTCACTCATTTAATCGAGTGGGTTCACGGAGATACAAATGAGGTTTTGTAGGTCTTCTAAAGGTCTTCTAAGGAATGAAAAATTGGTGAACAATGTTGTGGGAACTCTTCCTGAGAGGTTCAACATGAAGGTGAGCGTCATTCAAGAAGCGAAGGACACTTCTTCGATGAGTCTGGATGAGCTGATTGACAACCTCAAGTACTGAAATGAATCTCGAAGATCAAAATAAGGACTCCAAGCTGAAGTTGGAAAAGATGTTGAGACATCTGATGATGAAGAAATGGATCCACAGAAATACTTGAACAATGTAGTTGTAATATATTGGGCAATGATTAAAAAAATAAAAATGCTCAAATAATTAAACTTAATATATGAATGTATTATATATTCAGGCACGTGTGACGGGCAAACATTTAAACATTTAATTTGTATAATTCACTATTTACTGTGGTAATTACATAGTAATTTTTTTTGTTAAACAGACTAGACGACATTCAAAGATTAGTATTCTAATATAAAATACTTGGTGAATAAACCCACAAGGAAAAATTCAAAGTCAGTTTAAAATATCGGCAAATGGTAAATAAGTTCATGACAAGGGACTTAAATGCACATATGTCATCCTCTAGCTCTATATTGTCTAAATCAATGTTCTCAGAATCGGACCGGTTATAGAACCAGACAACCATTTGGGTCATCGGTTTATAGGGTCGAACCGATTCAACCGGCTTTTTGATTTTTTTTAATATGAGATTATTTTATTAATTTTAATGTTTTAAAAATTATTATTTTCTTTATATTTTTAATATCTCATTTATTATTTTCACTTTAATCTACTTCACCTCACTTTTTACTATATTTTATTGCTTATACTCTATATTTTTCTATTTTTTATGCTTGAAATCCGGCAATCAGCCACCCCTATTCGATCACCCATGATCATATCCGACAATCCTTCGACCACTCATGACAAGATCCGGCCACCCACTACTAAGTCTGTCAAATCTAGCCACAAAACCAACTCAGGGGTGATTCAAGACGTTTTGGCCGAAAATCGGGTTCCTTGCCTGACTCGTCGGTTCTCGGGTTTTACCCGGTCGAACCGAATTTTGGTAATTTGACCCCGGTTTTTGATTTTTCAGGTTTCAGATGTCAGACCGAACTGCTTTATAGCCAGTTCACGGTCGAACCGGTTTGACCGGCCGGTTCGGTCCGGTTCTAACAACATTGGTCTAGACCACTTACTGAAACTAAGAATCCGTTAGAATCCTATCGGAATAACGTATCCAATGCAATATCTTATTAGAGTTTCTAACAATGTTTCGGGAGATGATCGTAATTACCGATACCACATGGACCTTAAAATTAGAATATTAGCATACCTCAAGGGTGTAGGTGTAATTTACCCTTCATTCTTTTAAGCAAACCACATCAATAATATAATTTGGCAAGATACTCCATGTAATTTTGCATCCCCTTAAAAAGGAAACTTGCATAATCTTTGGAACAACTTGCTTGTCAAATGGAGTTAATATGTGCTCATGACACTGCTTGGGACCCACATGATCGTAAACGTGATATTTTAATAATATTTCATTGGTCTTTTCTATCCTAAGGAGGACAAATACTAACCCATAATAAGTTCTAAACTAACGTTGTCTATACTATTGTTGCAGTACCAAATTTGACGCATGCATAATAGAAAAAGCATTTTCCAATTTGTTGAATTCTTGGAATTTTACACCACATGGGACTAAATGGGACTGAACTTTAAATAATGTTAAATTATAATCAGCAACAAATCCAAAGTCCTACAACCTGAAATGCTGCCAAATATACTGCACTTGTGGGAAAATCATAGCTTTTAGTGTGATTAAAACAATTTTTGAGTTTTTAGCATTTTTCTCATGGTCTTTCTAACTGTATATACTCGTCTTTCAGATCCTCAAACAGATGATGACCGATAAACAAACAAAAATCATGGGATTTGTCTCATTTTTCATGTTTGCCTCCTTGATATCCACACAAACCAAGGTTTTCAAAAGATCTAATGTTTAGAGGTGTAATTTGAATATTTGATATATAAGCACCAGGGCCGGTCCGGCGTATTCGGGGGCCCGGGGCGAGAATATATTTTGTGCCCTTAATAATATGAGGTCTCGGTCCGACTTTTTTTTTTTCCTTTTTTTTTGATGGAATAATATAGACAAATATTTATTAATTTAAATTTATTTATCAATAAATATTGAAAATATTAATGTATACCTAAATTTTGTTTTATAAAGCAAATGTTAGAAATGTAGGAAATAATTTTTGTTTGAATAAAATAAAAAAAATTAAATTGTATATATTGTAAACTAAGTATTAAAATTTATAAATAGAAAATATATTTTTTTTAAACAATTGATAAATAAAAAAAATTATACAATAGAAATATATTTGTTTTCACACAAAAAGTATTAGTATATATATATAAAAACACTGAAAATGGGCCCCTAGTAAAACTGGGCCCTGGGCGTGGACCCTGCTCGCCCCACCCCAGGGCCGGCCCTGATAAGCACTAAACTAGAAAATTACTTTCAGTAACATCAACGATATGAAATTTCTGTTTTCGATATTGGCCATATTATAATGAATAGGGTAGATAAAAAAAAAAAATCAAACTCGATTTTTATAAACATTTTCTTTAATTTTATTTTAGCAAAACCTCGTGTTGATAATGTGTTATAAAATATAAATTAGATTACGTATATGACTAAAAAATACATGCATCAATTCTATAATATGTCCACAATTGATTGAAATCAAATGTGGTAGAACTGTAGAGTCATTAATTAGCTAATGAAATATAATATAATATGATAGTATGGTTACAACTAGAATCTATGAGAACAAAGGAGTTATTGATTTATTGTGTTCGACAATACACATGATAAATTGGTTTGAAAATCAAAGCATGTATGTCACTTGTCGAGGTTGAAATTCATTAATTAAATGATAGACATAGTATATATATATATATATATATATATATATATATATATATATATATATATATATATATATATATATATATATATATATATATATATATATATATATATATATATATATATATATATATATATATATATATATATATATATATATATATATATACATAATATGGAAGTGTTGCAGATATAATATTACTACAGAGTTATGGCAGGAGAAAAATATTGTCTGGTATTCCAAAACTTTGGATCAAATTGCAATTTTTAAAATTTCTTAAATAAAGAAAAATAAATTGCGTCTTCCCTAAAATTATTGTCCCTCATTGAAATCGCCACGACCACCAACAAACTCCCACCACCACCACCACCACCGGCAATGACCTCGTCAAGCTGCGGGCTCCAAACAGAGAGAAAGAACATGTCTACCCCAAAATTATTCTTCTTCTCATTGAAATCACCACCACCACCACCAAACTCACAACACCATCTCCAGCAATCACCTTTTCACCTCGCCGCCACTACCCCTTCCTTTCACCACCCGCCTCCTCCGCTCTTCTCACCACAGACACTCTGATCCACCGCCAAATTCTCAAAATCCATCTCCCTTGTCAGCCACCTTTACTTGAGATTTGATTGTGGCGAGATGTGAGGCATGAACATTGAAGAAATCAACATTATTTTTTTCACACAGTGTTGGAGAAGAGGGATCACGTTACACAAGAAGACATTGGGTTGGGTTTTGTTGCAATTGTTTTTTGCGTTTTGTTATGTTTTCTTTTTTATTTTATTTATTTATTAATAATTCAATTCATTAAAATTAAGCTATATTAT